CGAGTATCCCGAAGCTTCTCAAGTCTCGTTTTTGTTAGTTTTTTTCACAGGATTTAGAGTTTAACGTTGCTTCTCGGATTGCCTGGTAATTCTAAACCCTAGAGCATGAACTCTACATCTTAATCTTCAATACTAAAACCTAAACCCTAAACCCTAAGTCGAAATCTTTAAACCCAAAACATTGAAATGATAAACCTTAGATTCTCAATCATATAATTAAAGTCACGCAAGAATCGAGTGACTCAAAGCTCAGACTGTCTGGAGAGAATGGCCCTTGCTGGATCGCAGACGTCGAGGCATTCAAGCATAGGTTCCTGGATGCCAGAGCTAATTCTGCAGGATGTGGACAGTCAGATCTCTAGAGCGCGAGCCACTACCATCTACAGGAAGAAAAGGAGACAAGCACATCCAGAGATGCTGGACTCAGAGCTGCTCGCAGCATGTTAGTTTTCCAAGCACAGCTCTGAGCAAGAAAGCTGGAAGGCGTCTTAGATGAGGATCACGACCTTCAGGGTTAGGGGTTAAATATGAGAGTTCAAGGGGTCAGGGTTAAGGCTCAGAGTGTTTCAAGGCGGAGGGTTTAATGTTTTCGATTTAGGATTCGGAATTAAGGGTTTAAAGTTGAGGGTGCAAGGCTTAAAATCTAGGGAGTAGAAACTGACGAGGAATGTTAGACAGGTGGAGATGTATGATCAGCTCCGAGCTCGAGCTCAGTCTCAGGACTCTCTCCATCTGTATCTTCATCTACGCGGGGAGTTTGTTTAGTAAAGTAAGGCCCTTGTGGGTTTAAGGTTCAGGGCTTAGAGTTCAAGGTTTACAGTTTAAAGTTTAGGGTTTAGGGTCTATGGCTTATGGTTTTGTGGATAAGGTCTCTCTGGAACCTCAACTGGCCGGGCGCAGATGAGCAGAGACCCTTTTTAAGCTGCATCATAGAAGGGGCTAAACCTAAAACCCAACAACCCGAACCTTTAACTATAAACCCTAAACCTTCACCCTAAACCTAAACCCGAAACCCTAAAACCTAAACCCTATACCCTAAACCATAAACTTAAAACCCTAAACCTTAAACCCTAAACCCTAAGCCATAAACCTTGTAGGTTAAAGCCTAAACCGTGCAGTTTGTTTTTGCCATGTACAGCTTATCTGAAGCGCGAGCCATCACGACTTATCTTAGTAAAAGCGACACACATAAGCAGAAATGATGGACTCGCAGCTACTCGCAGCAAGTCAGTGTTTCAAGCAAAGCTATGAGCAAGGAAGTGAGAAGATGCATCGGACTACAGTCACGACCCTAGAGCTGAACGTTAAAAGTTCGGACTTCGTGGGTTTAAGGTTAACTGTTACAGGTTTCAAGGTTTAGGAGCAGATTTTAAAGATTAGGTTTAAGAAGTTAGGGTTCAGGGCTCAGAGTTTAAGGTTTCAGGTTCAGCACAAAGAAACGCTGAGGAATGTTAAAGAGGTGGAGACGTATGAGCATTTCCGAGCACAAGCTGAGTTTAACGGCTCTCCTGATCTGTTTTTGTCTGCGCTAGGAGTGTGTCTACTAAAGTGAGGCCCTTGTGAGTTTGGGGTTTTGGGCTTAGTAAATCCTGCAGGAAGTAGTGGCTTTGTGTTTCAATGCGGACAATCAGATGACAATCAGATCTCTAGAGCACGAGCCAGTATCGTCTAGAACAAGAAAAGGCGACAAGAACATGCAGAGATGCTGGACTCTCAGCTACTCGCAGCATGTTAGTTTTGCAAGCACAGCCCGCAGCAAGGAAGCTGGGAGGCGTCTTAGATCAGGATCACGACCTTAAGGGTTAGGGTTGAGATATAAGGGTTCAAGGGATTAGGGTTAAGGCTCCGAGTGTTTCAAGGTGGAGGATTTAATGTTTTCGACTTAGGATTCAAAGTTAAGGGTTTAAAGTTCAGGGTGTTAGGCTTAAAATCTAGGGAGTAGAAACTGATGAGGAATGTTAGACAGGTGTAGATGTATGAGCAGCTCCGAGCTCGAGCTCAGCTTATGACTTTCTTCATCTGTGTCTTCTTCTGCGCGGGGAGTTTTTGAAGTAAAGTAAGGCCCTTGTGGGTTTACGGTTTAGGGCTTAGAGTTCAAGGTTTAGGATTTAGAGGTTAAGGTTTAGGGTCTATGGCTTGTGGTTTAGTGAATAATGTCTCTCTGGAGCCTCAACTGACCACGTGCAGATGAGCAGAGACCTTTTTTGAGCTGCATCATAAACGGGACTAAATCGAAAACCCATAAACCCGAACCTTTAAGTATAAACCCTAAGCCTATACCCTAAACCCGAAACTCTAAAATCTAAACCCTATCCCCTAAACCATAAACCTTAAACCTTAAACCCTAAACCATAAACCTTGAAGGTTTAAACCTAAACCGTGCATTTGTTTCTGCAATGTACAGACTATCCGAAGCGCGAGCCATCATGACTTACCTTGATAAAAGCGACACGCATAGGCAGAGATGATGGACTCGCAGGTACTCGCAGCACGCCTGTGTTTCAAGCACAGCCATGAGCAAGGAAGCGAGAAGATGCGTCGGATTACAGTCACGAGCCTAGGGGTGAAAGTTAAAAGTTAGGACTTCGCGAGTTTAAGGTTTACTTTTAAAGGTTTCAAGGTTAAGGGTCAAAAAATAAGATTAGGTTTAAAGGGTTGAAGTTCAGGTTTCAAGGTTTAACGTTTCAGGTTTAGGGAGTAGAAAGCTGAGCTATACTTGAACAGATCGAGACATGTAGTGGACGCGTTCATTTAAGAGCATATATATTCCTATATTTATCGCGTTTGGCTTTGTTTATTTAAGAGGGCTTATATAAACTAAGCCAAAAGAACCCTAAAGGTCTCAGGCTCATATATATATACATACATGCATCTATATACATCTATATTTGTTTACATGTATATATATATATATATACATCTACATATATTGCGACATAGAGTTGTGCCCCGTGCCTTCTCGGCCGTAAACCCTATACAACCTTCTGAGGCCTAACCCTAACAACCCGAAGCCCGAAGACCAACCCTCCACCACACCACAGGGGCAGGGGGGGGGGGGGGGGGGGAGGGAAACCCTTTTCATGAGAATACCTTCCTTGGAAAGGCCCGCCGGCGAAACCGCAGCCCATGGTATGGTACCCCCCCTCCCCAATGGTATGGAACTATGTGCCCCCCTCCACACCCCTTCCCCTGCGGTGTGGTTGTGAGCTGTTTCTTGGTTTTCGGGGGTTTTAGTTTAGGGCAGAAAGAGATAAATACAAAAAATAGATATATAAACATGTGTGTTTTTGTTATCATTATATATAATAATAATAATAATAATAATAATAATAATAATAATAATAATAATAATAATAATAATACTAAAAATAACAATAATAATAATAAATATGAACCTCCGGTTTGGGGGTTCAAGGGTTTGGAAGGTTTTATGTGAAGAAGCAAAAGCCTATACCCTAAAGGCTAGAACGCCATGCGGGAATTTGGCAAAATAGGGGCCCCTTTTATACCTCAATATAGAATAGAATCCCCTAGGGGACCCCAAAAGGGTACCCTATTTTCGGAAACCCCCATAGTCCAAGACGCGAAGGAGTGCACGTGGCCGGCCAGGACGATGTCCACGCCGTGGTCGAAGAGAATGTCCTCCATGTCGGTCATCATCCTCAGAAACTCTCTGCTTCAAAGAAGCAAGTCCCAAAGAAGCAAGTCCCAAACCCTAAACCCTAAACCCTAAACCCTAAACCCTAAACCCTAAACCCTAAACCCCCACAACCCTAAGGTAGATTTCACTGAAAGGGCATTGAGGAATGGGTTCAGGGGTTTAGGGTTCACATTAGGTTTAGGGTTTAGGGTTTAGGGTTTAGGGTTTAGGGTTTAGGGTTTAGGGTTTAGGGTTTAGGGTTTAGGGTTTAGGGTTTAGGGTTTAGGGTTGAGGGTTGAGGGTTGAGGGTTGAGGGTTGAGGGTTGAGGGTTTAGGGTTTACGGTTTAGGGTGTAGGGTTTAGAGTTTAGGGTTTAGGGTTCCGATTTCGTTGCAGGGCCCAACGTTTAAGGTGCCAAAAAAGTCCCCTAATTAAGAAGAGCCCCAAAGTAGGGACGAAAGGAGGAAACCTGTAGCATTTAGGGTTAAAAGGGAGGGAGAGAAAGAAGGAATCAAGAGAGAAAGAAAGAAACGAGAGAGCGATAGAACGAGAGACCGAGAGACCGAGAGACCGAGAGAAAGATAGAAAAGAGAAAAAGGAGAGAAAGGAGAGAAAGGAGAGAAAGGAGAGAAAGGAGAGAAAGGAGAGAAAGGAGAGGAGAAAAGAGAGAAAAGACGAAAAGACAGAAAATGGAGCAAAGAGAGAAGGGAGAAAAGAGACGAACAGAGAGACCGAGCTAGAGAGCGAGTGAGAGAGAGAGATCGCAACCCCAATGACTAAACCCTAAACCCTAAACCCTAAACCCTAAACCCTATATGGACAGTTTCATAAGTTCGGGTCCCTTTTTGGGGGCGCCCTCTGAAACGGGATTCCAAAAAGGGACCTGAGTTTAGAGAACTACCCATATGGGGTTTCCGAAAATAGGGGAACCTCAAAAATCGACCACCTAAACAGTAGGATTCCCTTAGAATAAGGACCCCAGAATAAGGTGCCCCTAAACCCTAAACCCTAAACCCTAAACCCTAAACCCTAAACCCTAAACCCTAAACCCTAAACCCTAAACCCTAAACCCTAAACCCTAAACCCCCATACGGCGCCCAGGGCTTGGGGTTTTGGGCACTGCCCTCCCTGACACTTAACGACGGGAACCAGGAGACTCCTGCAGAACAAACCCGAGACCCCAAAACTTAAGAACCCCGTTTGGTTTAGGCTTTTAGGGTTTAGGGTTTAGGGTTTTAGGGTTTAGGGTTTAGGGTTTAGGGTTTAGGGTTTAGGGTTAGGGTTTAGGGTTTAGGGTTTGGGGTTTAGGGTTTAGGGTTTAGTGTTTAGGGTTGAGGGTTTAAGGTTTCGGGTTTAGGGTTTAGTGTTTATGGAGTCCTACACCTAACGCTTGCGAGCACAGCACCACAAGCAAAGAAAAACATTCTGGGGCATCTCCATGTGTCACCTTGGCTTCACCATAATGGCCAAGATTGGAGTTATACCAGGGCGCGTGCATGATGACGACCAGCCAGGGAGTTTTCTTTCGGCTGAAGGACTTCAGATCCTTCTCCAACCACCTTAGGTGGGGGTGGCCCTTCAGGGGTGTTTAGGGTTTAGGGTTTAGGGTTTGGGGTTTGGAGTTTGGAGTTTGGGGTTTGGGGTTTGGGGTTTGGGGTGTGGGGTTTGGGGTTTGGGGCTTGGGGTTTTGGGCTTAGACTTTAACGGTCAAGGGCTAAGGGGCTTTAGAGACTCTTCTTACGCAAGATCCTCTTGTAACCCCCAAAGTAAGGCGCATCCAAGATCTCCCAAAGACCGACCTCGCCACTTGTACTGGTAGCTTCCTGGCTTCGTCTGGCTGTAAGTGTTCAGGGCAATCACGTGCATGGGGCCAATGTCGCGGCTCCAGTAGGTGTTGTCCATCGAGCCCGACTGGGCATGTGGCATGGGGTAACGAGCATTGTAGCTCTTGAAGGACTCGCCTTCGCCGTACTCGTGATTTCCAACGCAGGACATGACCGGGATCTTCGCAGCCAGCGTCTCGAACATGATGCCGAAGGAGTCCCACCTTGGGTAGTAGCCGTCGGCGTAGGCGAGATCACCAGTCATCAACACTACCTCTCAAGGGGTTAAACTCGTAGCCCTAAGGTTGTAAACCCTAAACCCTAAACCCTAAACCCTAAACCCTAAACCCTAAACCCTAAACCTTCCAGTCATCAACACCACCTCGGGATTCAGGCCACTGAGCAAGTGCATGCTGGAGTTGGAGACTGGCGTCTGGCCCACGTCCCCCACGAGACCCACGTGGTAGGGATATTTCCTAGGCTGCTCAGCAAGGTCTGGGGTTTAGGGTTTAGGTTAGGGTTTAGGGCTTAGGGTTTGGGGTTTCGGGTTTGGGGTTTACGGACGAGCCAACATTTGTCGGGGGATGCTTTCCAAAATTCGAGCAAAAACGGTCGTGAAAAAACCAAAGTGTAGCATCGAATCGCCACAAACCCCCAGACAGCGAACCCCTAAACCCTAAACACTAAACCCTAAACCCTAAACCCTAAACCCTAAACCCCAGAGCCAAGTTTCGCCTCTTCGGCGGGCATGGTGAACTCGAAGATGCGATCGTCGTTCTCGACCTGGTGCAGATCTCATCAAACCGACCCGGGTTTAGAGTTTAGGGTTTAGGGTTTAGGGTTTAGGGTTTAGGGTTTAGGGTTTAGGGTTTAGGGTTTAGGGTTTCGGGTTTCGGGTTTAGGTTTAGTTTAGGATTGGGATGTTCCCCTTGTTACGAACTGTCCTTAAAGGGATTACAATCGGGTGCACGACTATCCCTATGAAGGACTGTTCGTACAAGGGGGAGCATCTAAACCCTAAAACCTAAACCCCGAACCTTATAAGGGGGAACATCCCAAGTTCCCTAAACCCCAAGCCCTAAACCCTGAACCCCAAACCCTAAACCCTAAACCCCCAAGCCCTAACACCCAAACCCTAAACTGTAGGCCCTAAACCCTAAACCCTAAACCCTAAACCCTAACCCCTAAACCCTAAACCCTAAACCCTAAACCCCACCTGGTACTTGTAGGTCTGCCCTGGCTGTAAGTCGGCAAGCACCACCGTGTGGATGGCAGGCGAGTCGTAGCGTTCCCCAGGGTTCTTGTACCAGCCTCAGCATCGACTTGGGGTTTAGGGTTTAGGGTTTAGGGTTTAGGGTTTAGGGTTTAGGGTTTAGGGGTTAGCGGTTAGGGTTTAGGGTTTAGGGTTTAGGGTTTAGGGTTTAGGGTTTAGGTTTAGGATATTCTAATAGGGAACTTGCTTTCGAAAATACCTTCCGGAAACTTGGTCCCGGCAACCCAGGTGGTCACTCTCCACCTGTTGCGTGCCCACCTCTTTCCAGGTGCCCGGGTACCTTGGGGACCGAAACGAGACCTAGAAAAGAGTGTAGGGTTCAGGGTTTAGGGTTTTAGGGTTGAGGGTTGAGGGTTGAGGGTTGAGGGTTGAGGGTTGAGGGTTGAGGGTTGAGGGTTGAGGGTTGAGGGTTGAGGGTTGCGGGTTTAGGGTCAAGGGTTTGGGGTTTAGGGTTTAGGGTTTAGGCTGTAGGCTTTAGGGTTTAGGGTTCATGAATACCTCAAACTCATCGAGGAAATTGGTGTGTGTAGGAGGCACGGATGTTCCGCCTAATACTAACAGTCCTTAATAGGCGCTCTTGAACAAAAGAGGGTACTATAAGCCCAACTAAGGACTCTTAATATACGTTCAGGGGGAACTAAACCCTGAACCCGGGTTGGAAGGACCGCATCCAGTTTACCAAGTATTAGAAGGGGTCACCCCCAACGCTACCGGCTAGAATCGGTGGAGGCTGACGCCCTAACAGTTGTTAAACACAACCTCGACCAAACCGCCCCCTCTGCTCGACGGGATTGTTGGGACTAAAACAGCACCTTAATTACCTTAACCCCAAACCCCAAACCCCAAACCCCAAACCCCAAACCCCAAACCCCAAACCCCAAACCCTAAACCCTAAACCCTAAACCGTAAACCCTAAAAGCCCTTTGCGTGGCATCTGGAGACTGCGCCCACGCGCCAGCTTGAAATTTTTTAAGCAGCTAACAAAGAGTTTGGGATGCGCTTGGCAGCCATTTACCCTAAACCCTAAACCCTCAACCCTAAAGCCTAAACCCTAAAGCCTAAACCCTAAATTAAACCCTAAACCCTAAACCCCAAACCCTCAACCCTCAAACCTAAACCCAAAACCCTCAACCCTCAACCCTAAACCCTAAACCCTAAACCCTCAAAACGGGTCCATCTTGGGTGTGCCCAAGGTACTTCCAGCCAGTACGCTCGTCGGAGGCCCACGACGTGGTACTCATGTCCTGGACACCGAGCTGCCGAGCACTAGACCTGCCCTAAACCTTAAGTGGGGTTTAGGGTTTAGGGTTTCGGGTTTAGGGTTTTGGGTTTAAGGTTTAGGGTTTAGGAGGCTCCCCACGAAGAACCCTATAACGAACACTAGACCTTCCCTAAATCTTCAAGCAACCCTCTTTAGGGGTCAGGGTTGACACATATATATATATATATGTATGTATAAACAGACAACAAACATCGTCCTTGGCGACGATATCCTGGGGCAGGCCGTAGCCACCTTCAAGAGGACAAAGTGCGAGCAAGAACTCGCACAGAATGGACTAACCTCCCCTATAGACTATTTAGGGTTTAGGGTTTAGGGTTTAGGGTTTAGGGTTTCGGATTTAGGGCTTCGGGCTTAGGGCTCAGAGATTAGGGCTTGACAGAGCATGTGCAAAAAGCGCAAAACCCCCAAAGGCCGCATGCCCTAAAGCCGAAGCCTAAACTCCCTAACCCTAAACCCTAAACCCTAAACCCTAAACCCTAAACCCTAAACCCTAAACCCTAAACCCTAAACCCTAAACCCCCTAACCCCTAAACCCTAAACCCTAAACCCTTGTGAACATCTACCCACTACTCTCTTTACTGTAGAGTCCAATTCCCACTTCCCCTAACCTGCCTTTCAGGGGAGGATTCCACAGATCTGCGCGCCAGTAAATGAGCTGCGAGTAGACCTCCGCCTGACCGATGGCCTCTTGGTCCATCACGTCCAGGTCTCCCTTGCCAAAGCCTTACGTCTCCAAAAGTTTCGGGTGTAGGGTTTAGGCTTTAGGGTTTAGGGCTTGGGGTTTAGGGTTTAGGGTTTAGGGGTCTAGGGTTTGGGGTTTGGGGTCTAGGGTTCTAGTGCGGAGACCGAGAAAACTTTAAAGTTCATCTCTTGGCTAAGTAATCCCTAAACCCTGAACCCTAAGCCCTAAACCCCAAACCCTAAACCCTAAACCCTAAGCCCTAAACCCCAAACCCTAAACCCTAAACCCTAAACCCTAAACCCTCCCTTAGGCCTCCCTTAAGAACCCTATTTTAAATAAGAGACGCACCCGGGACTTGGTGTCCGACTCCGGCTGAGAAACGAAGGACACCACCTGGGCTGCTGTCTTCTAAAAGGAGCTAGGGTTTAGGGTTTAGGGTTTAGGGTTTAGGGTTTAGGGTTTAGGGTTTAGGGTTTAGGGTTTAGGGTTTAGGGTTTAGGGTTTAGGGTTTGGGGTTTGGGGTTTAGGGTTTAGGGTTTAGGGACCCTCAATCTTTATAACCTTATATAGTCCCTACATAGTTAAGTAGCCCCTAAATAACCCCTAAGGTCCTAAGGTCCCTTATAAGGGTCCCTCGTTTAGTCCCTTGAGTCGTTTTTGAGCTTAGAGCTTCTCACACCCTAATCACCCTGAACACCCTGAACACCCGATAAACCCCAAACACCCTGAATGCCTAAAAACCCAAAACCTATGCTGACGTTGGAACCCTAGCAAAATTAAACTTTTGCAGTTTCTTAGGAAGTGTAGTACCCAAACATTAAAAGCTCTTGCCAAGTATCCCTAACAAAACCTAAAACCCCCTCAATCCCGACAAAGGGGCCATCTCCCTAACCCTAAACCCTAAACCCTAAACCCTAAACCCTAAACCCTAAACCCTAAACCCTAAACCCTAAACCCGACAAGGGGCCATCTCCCCAGGACCCCCCAGCTGCAGGTGGATCTGGCCGCTGCAGGGCGGCTTCTTGCAGCTACCTGGGTTTAGGGTTTAGGGTTTAGGGTTTAGGGGTTTAGGGGTTTAGGGTTTAGGGTTTAGGGTTTAGGGTTTAGGGTTTAGGGTTTAGGGTTCAGGGTTCAGGGTTTAGGGTTTAGGGTTTAGGGTTTAGGGTTTAGGGTTTAGGGTTTAGGGTTTAGGGGCTCAAACCCTAAAGACCCTAAAACCCTCTAAACCCCAAGATCCTAGGACCCTTGCTGACTCACTTTCAGTATCCCAAGAAATGTAGGGTTCACTCATTCAGCTACT